TCTCCCTCTTCTAGGCCATCCTGAAGAATGGCACTTAGCGACAGCATCCAGGCTGGTCCTCTGGTAGGGCCCTGCCCAACTTCAGTCCTAGGGCCACTGCATATGCCCAATGGCATGATTACCCCCATGAATGGCCCAGCACTCCCCAGGATCTGCTGCATGCCACTTACCTTCTTTTTTTTCCTCAGGCCCCTGTGGCCTGTGGGTCGCACTGAGGTTGTGGGTCGCACAAGGCCTTCATTCTTGACGTGGCTTCGGAGAATGCTCTTCTGCAGACTCTGAAATCCTCACAAAAGCAGGCCCCATTCTCATGCAATTTTCAAAGGCTCTGGCGGCTGCATGAGGGCGCAGTCCTCTTGCATAACTTTCAAAGGATCCAGAGGCCTCATGGAAGCACACCCCATTCTCACACGGCCTCCAAAAATTGCACAAGGAAATGGCATACTTTCGAGAATAGGTGTTGAATACTGGTGTGTTACTCAAAACACTGTGGCATGTCATTTTTGACATGTATGTCATTGGTTCGCCCTCACTAACTTATACTGACGTTAGTCAGGCTGTCAATGCTTATCTGTATTTTTGTTTTAAACAAACGATATTTCTCATTAAAAAAAGAGAAAAGAATGGGATATTGGCATACTGAAAAACAAAACGCCTTATTTTTATTTACAGTATCTCTGGACTTCAGAAGAACGTCATAGTTAGATATTTTGGCAGTGGTCACAGTCAGCATGTCATCTATGCCTTCTTTATGGTGTTAGATACCATGACCTATACTGGACACTGTCAAGTTAACATTCAGCAGTAGCAGGAAAGAAAAATTGCTGATAAAGCTGCCAAACCTTCATCCTACTGAAGGACCTTAGAGCATCTTGTCCCCGAAACCCATTTGATCTCAGCTTTCTCCAATCTCATATACTTTTCCGTTCCCACTTTTAGAATGCAACTTAAGCTACCTTTTCATAAGTGATTTCATCCCATATTCATGAATAGAATTTAAATTTAAAATTGTGTGGACTAATTGGATTTGTGGATCACAGCCGTGGACTTACTAGGCAATCACTTCTCATTTGTAAGAATGGCATCTTGCATCTGCACACAGACCAAAGCCTTTTGTACTTATAAATTGATAAATGGAGCCTAAATGAATTATATTTCACCATGTTGACAGTGCAACTACTCTACACCTACTCTGTGACTTAAGTAAGATTTTTCTAATTATAGTTATAATTATATTACAAAGCAGTATACTGTTTATGCAAAATTGGGACCTAAACTGTTATTTTCAACACTATTTCTAGTATTTCAATTTTTCATTCCACTCTACATCAGTTGAAATTAACTTGTTTTAACTCATCTTAATCTTAACAATAATAATCTTAATTATGTTGGAGACAAGTGTCAGTAATTTAAATAACGGAAGTGCGTTTTTCAGCTGACATACTTCATTATTTAAACAACGGGATTGCTGGGGTTAGAGCTATATGGTGCTTTGGAATATCCACTCTCCTAATGATACTTGGAAGCATGCACTAGTATAGGACTTGCAAAACTTTAAAGCAGCTGCAATTTTTTCTGGGATTGTGCTGGAGAATGAATCTGAAGTGTTTCAGTGGACCTACTAAATATGGTAGAACAGCTCAAAAAGAATTTCAAAGGAAAGTTAAGTCTTCAGGAATCTTAATCTTAAGGGGGTCATTGGTGCTCTGTGAGCTTGGTGGTTTTCTTGTAGATGTTTCATTACCAAACAAGTAAACAACAGCCCACTCAAGGAACCACCAAGACCACCCCCACAAATAGCGATAGGGCAAACCGCTACTGTAGTATATAAACTGAGAGCAAACTCTATTTCCTTTTAGCACTGATGATGTCACTTAGTTTGGCAATGAAATATCTGCAAGAAAACCACCAAGCTCTACAGAGCATCAAGAACCCGAGAGTTCAACCTTGAGCTACAGATAACCTCTTCCATTCATGGGGGTTCAAGTTGTGTGGCGGTGCGTTCTCTGTCATTGCACAATCCTCTCTAGCCTTGTGGAATTTCAGGGCTTGCTCCTAGAGACCTCCCTCTTTAAAAAGCAAGAATCTTGTCAAATAAATATACCTTGGAGGATCAGGAAGTGATGTTTCAAAGATCTACAGCCTACATAACAAACCATTCTTTCAAGCTTCAAATTAGCAATAGTCATAATTTTTATTACCAAGTTTCTAAAAAATATGACTAGCATATGATTAGTGCCGACTGATTTTTGTAAAATCAAAGTTCATTTAGCCATATATATCATACATTAAAGTGGTAAGAAAAATACTGACATTTGAGATTTTATACATGTTCATGTAAAAATTATGTTGCATAAAGTTTGTAATTAGAAAATATGTAAGTCGGAACATTACATGACAAAATCCTACACAACACACTTATGGAAGAACAAAGATTTCACAGTTTAGCTTGACTTCATCTGGAGCTGAAAAAGCAACTCCAAAAAAGTGTATCATTGTAGCCACGTTTTGCTTTTGTTCAGATAAGGTGCACTTAAGAGGCTAATCTGATTCCAAACAACAAGGGAAGAGGCTTAAAATTTTCATCTTTCTTAAAGGATTAAAAGATCTAAAGAGTTTTGATTCTCTGATGAAACAATACAGTTATTCACTCATACGTATAATAGAGAAGCTTTAATAAAAAGCCGAATGTGATGCATATATAAAATATCTAGGAGAAAACCAGGGCGCTTTTCAGACCAAATATCTTACCCTTTTTGGGATGTGTGTGTGTGTGTGTGTGTTAAAAGTTGCATGCAGGTCAACCCCCTAGGTATCTCTCTCTCTAGTCCAATGTTCTGCATCTTTAAGATGTGTGGACTTCAACTCCCAGAATTCCCCAGCCAGTTTTAAGTCCACCTATCTTAAAGTTGCCGAGCTTGAAAAACTGCCCCTTCTGCTTCTCCCCAAGATGCTAACTGATAAAAAGTTTAGAGGTAGTATGTAGAAGTCTATGTCAGTTATTGTATACTGAAGCTCAGTACTACGACTGAGATCTTTCTCTATAGTTATACATCTCAAGCTAATACGTACTATATTATGTTTAAACAGCTTGATTTTTTGAAGATTCAGTAAGAACACGGTAGTCATGAATCTCGCTATAGTTCTGTCATCCTGGCAACTGCATTACATTGTAATAATATATGATGCAGTCTGTCATTTTAGTAGCAAGAAGCACTAGCCTCTCTCCCTCTATAGAGTTCAAAGATTTTGCCAAACTCAAAAAAGAGCTCTGGTTTTCTTAGACATGATGCTGCTTCAAAAACAAGGATGTTTTTACAGGTACACACACAAACACATGTGTGTGCATATTTATATACAATATATATTTATAACATACACATTCCTCTGATAATACAAGCTACCTGATTGAGGCTACAATCTTAAGGAATGGAAATTAAGCACAGTACATAATAAACATTTCTTTAACGCTGTAATTGTAAATACAATAGATGCAAAATGATAAAACATAATCAGAATGTTTACAGAAATGTCAAAAAACCAGAATCAAGGAGTTAAGCAACACAGAAACCAATATATTTCTACAATAAATTAACATCCAGTTCTTTCACTAAAGGTTTGGATTCCATGCTTCCATGACAGTTAAAAGTTTAACATCTACAATATAATTTCATCAAGCTAATTCACAGTAGTACCGAACATACACACAGTAATTTCTATTGTGGAATAATTTTTCCTGCAATTCTGGATTGTTCCTCAATCACAACTACATAAAGAAAAAAGATATAAAGGTTAAATATAAAATTTCCTTTGCTTAGAGCTTTATATTTAAAAAAAGCCTTTTGTCAAAGGGAAAGAAGTTCAAATTATATTTCCCATGTTCCTGATTATACACTTTGCCTTCTTTAAAGATCTCTTCCACTGTAGAAGATACTTCTAATCGTTAAAAACAAGTCTATATATAAGATACCTGATTGCCAAATCTATCCTTAGAACTTGCATTTGGAATTAAAAACACCACAAAAAGCATTCACATTATAGATATAATAAAAAACCCCAGACTCAACTTCTTGGCTTGGTAGCCTTCTGGGCAAATGGTTCTGTAATGGACCTGCTCTTCTGTTAAGGAAGTTATTTGCTCATCTGGGCTGTACTGGTAGTGCTCCAAGCAGCAATGAGCATTCTCAAAATTCTCTTAATTCCATTGAATGACCTAAATTATGTTAGGCTAGGTTAATTCTAGTTCTGAATATTAAAAAACAGGTAGGGATGGGGAGCAAGATAAAAAGAATGGGTCTTGCAGCTGCTCAAAGACACCAGGTCCTGATACCACATTCTGCAACAACCACTGAAGTCAACAGAAAATCCCGTTGCTTTTAGTGGAGTTGGGTTATACTGCAATATTTTTGATCATATCATTTTTCAATGAATGGGTAGATAATTATAAGTGATAGTCCTAAGGCAGGGGTCTTCAAACTTGGCCCTTTTGTGACTTGTGGACTTCAACTCTCAGAATTCCTCAGCCACACACGATGGATGAGGAATTCTGAGAGTTGAAGTCCACAAGTCATAAAAGGGCCAAGTTTGAAGACTCCTGACCTAAGGGAACAATTTAACTGGCTTTCAGTAAGTTGCCTTATCCAGTGGAAATTTATTCCTCCAGCACAAGGAATAAACCACAATACAAAGATTCATAAATTAAAAACAATAACAATAGTTATACCTCCCAACTAACCATTCCATTAGTAAATCCAAAGTATAGTTGTGTGAATAGTTGCATTAAGATTTATGAAAACCGAAATTATTAGGGTTCCTGCCTGGGCAGGGGGTTGGACTCGATGACCTCCAAGGTCCCTTCCAACTTTATTATTATTATTATTATTATTATTAAATATGCTATGATAAATCATTGTGTAACTTTTCAATTAATACATATTGGGACACTGGTTAAAATGGTGGTATCTCATATTTAATTACTTTTATTAATATTTTTAGGTTAAAATAAGGCATTCTCTGGGCTGGATCTCATTTGACTTCAAGATGTGTGCAATGAGATTAAAATATGCAGACTAAAATATGCATGATAAGAACCAAAAATGGAAAAAGGACATCACACCCTTGTTCTGTCTTAAACATGTAAGATGAGAGCCAGCCCATGTTTCAAAAAATATTACTCAGCTAGATTTCAAAATGGAACAAATGAAGTGAATCAAAACTCCATTTTGTTACTATAAAAAGCCACTGAAATATAGTAATTGAGAGGTATGTACTGTATAGGTGCTGCCAAGTAGGTATAGTTTTTGGCCTCTTAATTTGAAAAAGCAAATGAAGCACTTTCACAATGTGATGATTGTCCCATCTTCTTCTAAGGTCTTTTGGTCAGAACCCTGAATTTTAAATTCCACATTAATGCTGCTTGTTGAACAGTACAAGTTGACTTCTCTGGAAGAAATGAAGCCATTCTGCATTGGCTCATGGTGGGTCTCAGTTTGTGTCAGTGAATCCAGACTTTCACTGGATGGAGCAGCTTTTGGAATTTGCTGTGGCTCCCCATTATCTTCAATGATTATATCATCTTCATCACTGTCTTCTTCCTCAGGTTGGTAGCGTGGCACAATGTGTGGAGTGTAACTTGGAAGGCTGTTATCAGTAGACTGTCCTGAGCTACCAGAAGTCCGGCTGTTCCTAACAACATTGTTCCTCTGGTTTGCTGGTCTCACCGTAATTATCAGATTACGACTGTTGGCAATCATCATATCTGTAACTTGATCGAGGCTTTTTCCTGAAACTTCTATGCCGTTTACTTCTAGGACTTCATCATTAACAGCCAGTAAACCTGTGCTTTGAGCCAGACCTCCAGGAACCAGCCTGGATATGAATATACCAGGAACTTTTTCTAGCCCGTGAGGGGTTACTCTGACACTAGAGCCATCTCGTATATAAAATCCTAGAGGTTTCTCAGTTCCATATTTATAAAGCCGTACTCGGCGATGAGTTTCTGGAAGTATGTCCACATCAATAATAGAAGACACTGGCCTGAAGTCTTGTGGCAAGCTAATAACAATGTGTGGCTTTTTCCTATGGTTATCAGGACGCAGCACATTGGATAAGACGTTTTTCTTCCTTGTCATGGTATCTGTCCCAAAGGCACTATAGTCTGCATCTTCTACAAAAGTAAAGGAGAAGGAGAAAATAATGTATTAGTAATTCTTACAAGGCAAAACATATTCCAAAGAGCCTCTAAAACACCACTCATTAAAAGATTCTGTTTGAAGTTTTCAACATGATATAACACTTTTCTCCTACTAATTTATTTTACAAGCTGGTCAAGATATTGATAAGATGATAATAGAAAGCAAGTTGATAAGGGCTATAGAACAGTAGCAGGAAATTTTATACACACACACACACACAACCTACTTCCTGGCTTTGACTGGGGTCCAACACCTTCATGGCATATATCACACATTCCAACAAAACACACCTTTTCTGCTGCCCACAAAGATATACCCAGAATCACTCTACTGAAATCTCAACAACATATAACCAAGTAAGGTCATCATGGTTTCTTGCAAGAAGAAAGCAAGCAAGAAAAATTCAAAAACAAGAATAAAAGGTTACACTTATTCCAAAAATTCAAGGTATAACCACAAAAATATTGCTATCTTGCCCTATTTTATCATTACCCGTACCACAGAGGAATAAAATCAGAATCATTTATTGGAGCAGTTGAAATTTTACCAAACAGTTGCAAGTGTTTGAATTTGCAAAAACTCAACAGTCAAAGAGGGTATAAACTAGGAAATTAATGGTACTTACTTAAACTAGGAAATTAATGGTACTGATTAACAATTAATCAGTGGAGCAACTTGCCTCCAGAAGTTGTGAATGCTCCAACACTGGAAGTTTTTAAGAAGAGACTGGACAACCATTTGAAATTGTATAGGGCTTCCTGCCTGAGCAGGGAGTTGGAATAGAAGACTTCCAAAGTCCCTTCCATTATTCTGTATTCTGTAATGTGCCTGACATAAGAAATGTGGCTAGATTGTCCCAGCTATACCAAATTACACTGTATTTAAGAATACCTTAAAAGTTGGTAGACCTTTGCGGTATATAAATATGGACTGATCAGGTAAACAGGCAGTCATACAGCATGTTGCCCCCAAACAAATGTTTTGGGAAATAACTTTAAAAGCACTACTTTTAAAGCAGTGGGCATCAGGGACTGGTTCCATAGAGAAAGCTTATTCTGCAGATTAGAGATGGTGTGATTTTGCCTGCTACCTGCATCCCGCAAATTCACTTGTTTGCATGGACCGGTTGCTGGCATGCCATGGACCTGGGCTGGGGACCCCTGTTCTAAAGTAGAAGTCAAAATTATTCCTTTTTGTTATATACGTGGTTAGGAAAAATCCACCTTCATGGGTTAAAATACGTGAGCACCTAGAAACAAGTAGAGTGATTACTAAAAACCAACGAGTTTGTTAAAAACAGATCATAATAGAAACCTTATTGCCTTCTTTGACAAAGTGACTAAATTAGTGGATCAGAAAATTGTTATGGACATAGTTTACTTAGACTTCAGTAAGGTATTTGACAAAGTAGACCGTAGCCTATTTCTTGGTAAGATAGAAAAAATGTAGGATAGGCAGCATCACCACCAGATAGATTCCTAACTGGTTGACCAACTGCACTCAACATGTAGTCTTCAAAGGAACTACTGTACATCTAAATGGAGGGAAGCATGCGGGGGGGGGTACTTCAAGGTTCTTAGGGCCAGTACTCTTCAACATTTTCATAAACAATTTAAATGAGGGGACAGAAGGGCAGTTCATCATTGGTGGATTCTACGTCTCCAGTGCTGGAGAATAATGGTACCTGGTTCAACAGTGATGACTGTGAGAGAGATTTAGGTGTCCTAGGGGACAATCACTTATACATAAGCCAGAAGTGTGCTGCAGCTGCCAAAAAAGCCAATGCAGTCTTAGGCTGCATCAACATAGGGATAGTATCAAAATCACGTGAAATGACAGTGTTGCTTTATTCTACACTGGTAAGACTGCACTTGGAACACTGCATCCAGTTCTGGTCATAAGGGGTCTGGAGGTTAAACTGTATAATGATTGTTGCAGGGACTAGGTATGTCTAGTCTATTCCAGTACTTGAGGGGCTGTCACAGAGAAGAGGGAGTCAACCTACTCTCCAAACTGCCTGAGGGCAGCACAAGAAGTAACAGCTGGGAGGTCATTAAAGTCAGATCCAACCAAGAATTAAGGAGAAATTTCCTGGCAGTGAGAACAATTATCAGTGGAACGGCTTCAGAACTCTCCAGAAGTTGTGGGTGCTCCATCACTGGAGGTTTTTAAGAAGAGCCTGGACAACAATTTGTCCAGAATGATAAAGGGTCTGCTGATCAAAGAAGGGATGGGAATAGAAGATCTCCAGGGTCTCCTCCAGCCCCATTATTCTATGTTCTATGAATTTCTAAAAATTCATTTTGCTTAAAGGTGGTATTAGGTCCATTATAAATTTTGGATCTTTTTCTTTTTGTTCTGGGATTTTAGCACAGATATGTCTGGTAAAAAAAGCAGAAACTCAAAGCATTTAAACAAAGAATCAGTCATTCGAGGTAAGATATGTACTTGAGCATTCTTTATTCCAAATGTACTTCTATGCTCCATTTTTTTTACTTCTCAACTTTCAGTATTTGAGAATAAAAAGCATGAGGATGGGCAAAGTGCCAGGGGACCCACTGCTGCCAAGTATCTGGATAACAGCTAAATGACCTGGTTTTAATCTCCTGAAAACAAATACCATTCCACAAACTTTCTTCTCTGCCCTCTTCCAGAGTAAGTAAAATGACTGGCAACAGACTAAATAAGTAACATATTTAAACACTGGAAGATACTTTTAACAAGTGGCTGAACCACAAACCAATATTTCCAGCAACCTGCATACCAAGTAGAAAAATGCTCCTCAACTACTGCAAAATACTTCAGTTCAAAGAGAAGAAAATAAGTTTTGATGAAATACTTGTATTTCTATAGTCATATTTAATTTGTAAGTATTGCACGTGAATCATTTTTTTTATATATTTGACAAAAAATGTCTTCTTTCAGAGCAATGCTGTTTAAAAATTAGAGCTGAGGTAACTGGTACGCAATGGTACAGCGTAACAGAGTCATCTGAAATATGCTAAACCCATCAGAATCTTGAAATCTACTTTGATAAGGTTATTCATACTTCCAGGAAAATTATCTACAGATGTCTAGAAGATGTTGCAAGAGTCTAAAAGTTGCTTTATTCTAACATAAACATACTTGAGCTCATTTTCAATCAAGTTACACATTATCATTTATGGTCTTTCACAACTTGCCACAGAAAAACAGTGTGTAAATTGTTTCTACACTGGAAAACGGATTATAAATAATTCTAATGTTAGGGACTACATAATTTGACAAAAAATCTGCATACCCTACAAAAGCCGTCATAGGAATGTTCTCTGACGGTAAGAACTTTAAGCAAAACTGTGATAACATCTGTGAGGTCTCACATATTCCTGTAAACTCAAAAACTAGAATGGATAGGAAAACTAGAGGAGAGTATAAGTGGTGCCAACAACCTGTTTTCCACGGAATCTAATCTGTTCTATTTTATCATCTAGTGGAAGAATCCAGATAATATTTCAAGTTCCGAAACAATTAGAAAATAATCCAAATCTGTTATTTGAGCAAGTAAAGAGTCCATTCACAGAAATGGGAGGGGGATCTTTTTTAAAAAAACAACAACAACAAACCCTGTATCAACATAGCTTGATGGACATATTTTTTTTATTATGAAAGTGGATATAGAGCTGAGGAATTCTGGGAGTTGAAGTCCACACATCTAACTCTAATCCTATAACAAAGGGGAAAGTAGGAGAGAATGGAAAAACTACAATCTGGTTAAATTAGTTAAGTCTCCCTGGGAAAGTAGTTTGGTAGAATTTTGACTGGTTTGGATCTTGCATAGTATTACATTTTTTCTGTTCTTATTTTCTGATTTTTATCAATGTCCACCATCCAGAGTCACAAATTGTGAGAACAGCAGCTTTAGAAATCCTTTAAATAAATGGAATATAAATGAAAAATGGGAGCAGATAGTATGGTTTTATATTAGGCAGGTATTCCATACAAAAATTTGCAAGTTTTCATGTATTTTAGAAATATATAAATGTCATTATAAAAGTAACTAGAAGCCTCATATGGACTTTTTGTTGAAAAATGAACTTGTGATTTATGGGTTTCAAGATTAGAAAGGGTAGCTTATGGAAAGAAGGAAATTATGATGTAATCTTAGAGAAAAATATAAATCTGTAACTGCTATCAGGAAGATCAAAAGCCTTTTCTTTGGAATTGTTCCTTTTTTCTCCATTTCTATTTCTTTTTCTACATTTCTTGTTCATTTTCTTATCAATTTTCTTTATACTGCTTTAATTCAAAATTTATACTTTTTAATTGTTGAAAAATCTCAATAAAAATTAATTAAAAATACAAAGAAGTGTGTAAATGTAATTAAAGCTGCGGTACGTTTGTAGGTTTGGGTAATGCTCAATACCTTGCATGAATATGGAGTTAAAGGCTGGTTGCTAAATACCTCAAGGACATTTCATAATGGGAGTAAAATATGAGTACAACAAATGGAATGTTTGGGGGATAGTTTAACTTTAAACAGAGAATAAGACAAAGATGTGTGATGTTCCTTGAATGGTTGATATGTTTATAAGAAATACTGATGGTGACTTTAGAGGCGAGTTGGTTAGGGTTATGAATATATGTTTAGATATACATACATATGATCCCATGTTGTTGGCTGAGAAACCAAATGATTTGCAGCAAATCTGACACACCGTACAATGTAGCAAGAACTACAGGACTGAAAATTAATGTTCAAGGATCAAGGAAAAATACTATGAATAACTAAAAGTGAGAAATACCTAACAAGTAGAGTAAGTAGTCGATTTTCTGTAGTTTGACCGAATGCTTAGCAAAGATGGGGAAATGGATGGAGGGAGAGATTAAAAAGAGAACACACAGTTGTGGTGCTTTGTGAGGGGTAAGTATCTATCAAAATGTTGGGAAATACCCAGCTAGGGCAGGGAAGAAGGCTAAAGTGGGGAAATATCCT